AAGTTACCATCCCGTGTTTTTTATTGTGTTGCATTTATACTTCTTTATAAAAATCAGTGTAATAAGTTAACTCCTCAAGCTTTGTGATGTGTTTTTTAAGTAATTTCGATCATCAAAATGGGTATCAACGTTATCACCTCTAATTCATCAAATGTTTATTACCATGAATATTGTTTTTTCATGGAGACACCATATGTTTTTTTTTTCTCATGAACTTCAAAGGGGTATTATAAGGAAATTCAAAATCTAGATTATGATGTTCTATACATAAATTTATATTACAAGAGTGATGATTCACAAGTTAGGCCAAATAATAATAATAATAAAAATTAATTGGATTTGAGTGGTGTAATTTTAGACCAAATTGATGATAAATTCCTAGAAATAGAACATGTGAGTCTAAAAATATTTCATTTAAGTTAGAATTTCTCTCAAATGATATACCAAACCATTGTTGAGAATGCTTATGATTTAATGTTTGATGTGTCAGGAAATTATCATGTTGTAATACCAAAGGTACACCTAAATACATATATAAACCCAAGCTTTTTTGTGAAGTCAAATATTCTACAATTTATTTTGTGTTTATCCATCATTTTTAAGAATCAAATCTATTATTTATAAATTAATTATCTATTATATCTATTTCTAATATTGTGTAGGAAGTCATAGTTGACAGCAGTTATAAAACAATTATGAACAAAGAGATGAAATTCTTGTAAAAAAAATAAAACATGGAAACTTTTTGATCGATCACCAGAAAAGAACTCAGATAAATGTGAATGGATTTCCGTGAGAAAGTAAAAGGCTGATGGCATGATTAAATGCTTTAAAGAAAAATCAGTGGTGAAAGGTTTCACTCAAACATATAAAATTAATTACATAAAGATAAAATCAATTACATAAAAATATTTATACTAGCAGCCAAAATCAACACAGCTTAAGTTTCTTTATCTTTAGTTGCGAACTTGTATGGCCATTAAAATAATTTGATATAAAGAACACCTTTTAATATGAAAAATTATCTAAAAATCTCACTTGGGTGTATAATACCTAAAAGTCATAATTAGAATATGTACATATTGAAGAAATTATTGTATAATTGAAACAATCTTTGAAAGTATGGTTTTGGAGGTTAATAAAATATATGATAATCTTTGGCTACCATTAGAGCAAAATTTAGATCATACATTATTCTCAAAAGAAACAACAAGGTAAGATTACAATACTTATTGTATATATAGATGATATGTTAGTCATAAAGAAAAAAAAGTGCCATATAAGATTAACTTATCCTAAGAATTTGAAATAAAAGACTTAGATCCTTTCAAATATTTTTTTGAAATGAAAATATCTTGATCTTATAAAAAAAAATTATTTTAAAAAAAATATGTCTTAGATCTTGTACAAGAAATTAGTATGTTAATATGTTAAGTAGTTGATACACCAATAAAAAAGAATTTAAAATTTTATGTTCAGTCCAATTAGATATTGGTTGATAAAGGTATAATAGACTTTGGAGGAAGATTGATATACTTAGTTATGCAAGACTAGATTTAGCTTATGTATTGGCTATTGCTACTCAAATTATGTATAATCTAATAATGCAATGTATGAATGTAGTTATTAGTATTTTAAGATATATGACAGTTGCAATTAGAAAAGATAATTTTATTTATTAAAAATATAGATTGTCAAAGTATAGATGCATATACTAATCCAGGTTAGGCTAGAGTAGTAAATAATAAATAGTTTATTTTTAAATATTTTATCTTTATAAATGGTAATCTCGTTATATAAAGAAGACATAATCAAAGTGTTGTAACTTACTCAAATATAAAAGTTGAATTTAGATGTAGGACTTTTCAACTTTGTAAAGCATTGTAGTTAAGAATTCTATTGTAAGATTTTGTAATATAGGATTTTGGTTATTCATCCAGGTAACTTATTCAACTATTTATGACAATAAAGCACCATGTGTTATTACTTATAATCTCATTCAACATGATCATATAAAATATATAAAGGCAAATAGATTCTTTATTAAAAAGAAAATTGGATAAAAAAAATTATGGAGTATCCTCATATTAGATTTAAGGATTAATTTCTCATCTAAGTAGTTTTAAATCGAGTATTTTTAAACAAGTTAGGCATATGTGACATTTATGCATTAACTTGAGAATATTGTTGAGATTTCTTGTAAATTTTATAAAAATTGTATAGTGAGGATATAATATTTAGTTTCAAGATTTAATTAGAGAATATATATATATATATATATATATATATATATATATATATATTGTACACTTTACTTTCTTTAGAATAATATTAAAAGATAACTAAAACTAGAAGGAAAATTATTATGCATCTAGACTCAAAATATTATTTATTGGAATAATATTATGATGAAATTGCTCTTATGCCATTAAAGTTTTAACCAGGCATTAAGGTCAGTAAAGCTTTTTCATCATGATTCAATTATCATTTTTTAATTATGTAGGGGTAGAATTGTCTTTTTACTTTTTTGCATGGTAAAATGATTTAACTACCACTCAAATAAAAAATTATTAAATTTGATATTCAGGACTTTCTAGTTTTTTTTAATTATTTTAACACAATATGATTACTTAATTATCATTTAAGAGAAGAATCTATTAAACTATCTTCCAAGGAATTTTTAATGAAAATCATTGTGGTGTGTGAGGTTGTTCAGTAATTAAAGGTTGCCTTCCATAATGGTGTTTGAATCGTCTTAGCATCTTCTTTATGATGAGGCTATACATGTGGCAATGTCCCTCGACTTAATGTCAGCAATCTTTTTTTCTCTCTCTCCTCCTCGATTTTCATATTTATCATTTCAAAACTTCAAAATAGCCCTTCATTTTATTATTCTTTCAGATTTGATCTACATTCTTTTTATTGCTATTTTTTTATTTAGAATAATTTATAAAAATAGATTATTGTTTTTTAGTTTCATCCCCCTTCAACTTTTTATCTTTCAAATTTATTATTATTCTTTTTATTGCTATTTTTTTTATTTGAAATAGTTTTTCTAATTTTATTTAAAGAAATTTCATACTTTTTATGTTTTTTTTATCAAATTTGTTTCATAATTTTTTGATTACTATTTTTTACTGTGACAGTTTTTGTAATCAATTTTTTTTCTCGATTTCATCCTTCTATATTAAATTTGTTGGGAATTCAAGTTGTTTATTGAGTTCGGGTCTAGGATTTTATAGGTTACGAGTTTTAAAGATTAACTGAAATTAGGAGGTTTGCCCAAGTTTGCCTTTTTTAAAACTCATATTTTTTTAATTTTATCATTCAACATTTATTCAATTGGAGATTAAGTTATGTTATTTTATTTATTTTCTTTCTACAGAATTGTTTGTAAATTTTGAAAATTTCTCAGGCTATCTTGGTTCTTTTTATCTTCCATTATTCTTTGTTAAATTTACTTTGATAATTTTTTTAATTAATTTTTTTATGATTTTATCCTTCAATATTAGATTGGTTGAAAATTAATTTTTTTTTTATTTTTATCCTTCAACGTTGGAATTTATTGGTATAAGGCTTCGTGATTCTCTTTAATTCTTTTCTGTTTATTTATCATAGTTTCATCACTTAGACGGGAGGTTTAATAGGTTAGCGAGGATTAACTCAAATGTATTTTTTTTAATAAATTAATTTAATATTTGTTACATTCCATCTTTCAGCATTGAGTTTTATAATCTTTACCGGCTTGCTTTTTATTCTCATTCATATGATTTAAGTGCCTGATTTACTAATTGTTTTTTTATTTTTTTTTTATATTGATTTTTTTCAAGTTTTCGTTTGGAATTGGAGTTCAACTAACTTAAACCACCTCTAGCTAAATTTGAAGATCATGACCAGACTATGTTTTTTTCCCCTCACATATAAAAAATGAAATAAAGAACTTCGTGGCATTTCCTAGAATCCTAGCTAGTGACATTGCCAATACGTTGACTGGAGTGTGGACTTATTTCAAAATGTATTCTATCTGTTTTTTTTAATCATTTTAGACCGTTTACTTGGTTATTACACAGTATTTTATAGCATTTGACAGTAAATAGAGAATTCAAGACAAAACAATTAATGCTTGTGTAGTTGTGGAAAGAGGTAAGAATCGAAAATATGGAGGAAGGGTGTTTTCCTGACCGGCTGCTCTCCATGCCGCTTGGAATTGGACACGGCATCGATCAACTTTTGGCATGCAACACACTAAAGTACGATCGAGTAGATCTCCTACGTTTGTTTTACCTGTCACCTACCTGAATTAAGGTCTCATGTTTCCAAAGTCAATGCCTGTTAATGTAGTTTCTCCGTTGCTCGGCTTTTTTGTGGTAAGAAATCTGCAAGAACATACGTTAAAATGTTGACATACTTGTGCACGTTTGATTTGGGGGCGCGCGCACACATATATATGGGACGTGATTCCACGTTTGACTTGCATGATTGTTTTCCAGCTAGCTCTAGAACAAGGATGCATGGCTTGGGAAACTTATAAATATTATCAGAAAATGAGATTGAGGGAATGAAAGAGATGAAATATATAGCTTAATTAATTAGTGATACAAACTTATAAATATTCGTTCTTTCAACTTATAAATATTCGTTATTTCAATTATGGAGAAAAGATGAAGAATTTACTATATGGCTTAGGAAACAAATTACATGGAGATTGCCCTAAACTGGAGCTTTACCAAAACTGCCTCCATTTCTTATGGCTCCTCAACTAAATGACAGAAACGCCCTCAGGAAACAGGGAGCTTTTAACTGCTAAACGGTGAATCCGTTGGCAGAATCCCAAAACAATCCCCCCTTTCCCTCCACTTAAAAAATACTAGAGAGGCGTCCATTGCAAGAAATCTCTCCCTTCTCCATTTTTTTCTCCTTTCCCCCTCGCTATTCTCTTCTTTAATTAACTACAGGGCTGCTTCCCTTTTTCCTATATATACACACACACACACACATTTAATTCTGTGTTTTATAAAGAATTTTTGTCTGTCCTCTGCTCTCACGTCTCTGCGGATTTTCTTGCCATTATTCGCAGAAACGAAGATCCCTCTCTCAAAAGGTTTAAACCCCATTTCTCTTCTAAAGAATCTATAATCACTGTACTAATCCCATGTTTGGTTGATTTATATCTTTTTGTAATGCAGAGTTTGAAGAATTCTTCACGTGAAAGCTTCTTCAAGATTTTGTTTCTTTGCATAAGTAGATCGTTGCAAGTTCATTGGTGTTGGTAGTTCTTCTTTTGGTAATTCATTTATTTACGGGTGCTTTATCTTCTTCTTCTTCTTCTTCTTCTTCTTCTTCTTCTTTGGATGTCAACTTTTGTCTTTTGGTTTACCGTTCTTTTTTCTTTTTGTATTGCATTTTGATTGAATGTTGAGAATTTTCTCTTAAAGTTGTTTCAGCAATTTTGGAGAGTGTATGATCAGAGATTAAGGATGTTAGGAGATTTCATCACCAGATTTCTTGTGTACGTTATTCAACATTATTCCTTCATCTTTTTCCCCCTTTGTTTCGTATGTTTCTGTTGTTTCACTATGATTTTTATCCATGTTGCTCTTTCCTTTTCTTATTTGAATGACGTTTCTTGAAATTGAATATTGTGTTAAACATTATTCCTTCTTTGGATGATGCCAGGTTGCTTTTTGGATATGCATACCCAGCATTTGAATGTTTCAAATCTGTGGAGAAGAACAACGTGGATATTGAAGAAATTAGATTCTGGTGTCAATATTGGTAAGTCCCCATATGTTCATTCAATCAACCAGCAGACGTGGTCGTCATTTTTATGTTGAAATTGATTCTATTCAAGGTCTCCTCAGAAAGTTTTGTTTGATGTTCTTTCGCGATAGCAAGGTGAATAATCCATTCTGTTTCAGAAATGATTAGAAAATGAAAGAAATTGACAAAGAAAAAAGAAAAGAAACATTGAGATTTTGAGTTAGAATGGAGAACAGCCAAATCTTTACTGGTGGTGATGGGGATCGTGTGTTGGGTTCTCTATTCCCTGATCCATCCTGTTGTAACTTCTTCAAAGCAGTAGTAACATTGCATAAATCATCATTGCTTATATTACAAGGGTGTTCCAGTTCCATTCGTCGTCTTTATGCATGAATTTTCTTTTATCGTTATGCTCTGGAATTGAATTATTAGTGTAATTCTTAATAAACTTTGCAGGATCATTATTGCTCTTGTAACGGTTTGTGAGAGGATAGGAGACATATTTCTTTCATGGTACGCAGGGTTCAGAGGTTCTTATTTACATTCCCAGTAGAACCTATTTTGTGGTGTCTGATTTTATTCTTATTTTATGTTGAAGGTTGCCAATGTATGGTGAAGTGAAGCTGGCATTTTTTATCTACTTATGGCATCCAAAAACAAAGGTAAAGAGAGAAGATGGTTAGAAGAGACTGGGGAAGGAATTTTGTTCACCAAGTTCAGCTAATCATATGACGTTAAACTTTTGCTCAATGCAGGGAACTGGCTATATCTATGACACCTTGTTGAGGCCTTTGGTAGCAAGGCATGAAACGGATATCGAAAGGAAGCTACAGGAGACGAAGGCTAGAGGTTGGGACTTTGCCATCTACTACTGGAATATCTGCGCAGAACTGGGGCAAACTAAATTCTTTGAAGCTCTGCAATACTTGGCGCGTCAGTCAGGAAAGTTTACAAACGATAACAGTGAGGTAGATTATTTTTCCTTCAAAACAGAATGATTCCAAAAGTGGACGCACAAGTAATTACTAGCTAGAAGCAACAACTTTCACCTCCACAAGCAAAATAGAACTTGCCATGTTGGACAATGATGCTAGTTGCATCTGTTGTTCCTTCTTGCCCTGCCCCTGCCCTGCCAATATTCTTTATTGCTAAGCATATCTGCATCCCACAAATTCCACTCCTTCTTCAAAGGGTATCTAGCTTGTAAAAGACCTGACGACTTTACCACTCTCCAACCCTCAAAGTATTTATGCTCAAATTCAAACTCCCATCACACACTATCGTTACTAACCCAACAGTTCATAAAAAGCTCTCGTCCCCATAGGCAATAGCTTTGTAATGGACTGCCCAGATCTTCAGGAAGAAACATCTGTCATTAAACACACTACAGGCTTCAGAACTAGTGAATTGGATCCTATTTCAGAATCAACAGGGTTAAGCACATTGTATTTGTAAATAGAGCGGATTGACAATTTTGGCATTCATTAACAAACAGACACGCACATGCATTCACAACTTTGGTTTCTTTGATATTATATATAATCACAGCTCTTAATATACATAAAAACACTAACCTTGATCAACTAAACTAGCTGTGATTTCTCGAACCAACCTTGCAGAAGAGCAATGGCGATGAACCTAGTGCTACGTCTCCAAATGAGTTACCATCATTGGCCAAGAATACTAGCGAGAACTCCAAGTCGCCACCAAGACCACCGACACCGCCTGGCAGCAGCACAATCAACCGAGAAGTTGCTGGATCACCAAAATCCAAACGAGTACAAGTCCACCTCAATGAGGAAACAGAATCTGTTACCGCAATGGACACGAACAACTCGACTGACCTTGATTCTAATGTCAATGAAAAGCTCCACCAATTTCGTATGAGGCTACGAAGATCAAAACCAATGCAACAATGAAAGAAAAATGTATTAAAAGAAAAACTGTACTAAGAAACAAACTCGCAAAAAAAAAAAGATGGAAAGAATTAAAAAAAGAAAAAAGAAACTTTAGACGTCCTTCTTTTCTTCATTTCCAAATTGAATCCCAATTATTCTTTCTTTTTTCTTGTACATGATTTTTTCTTTCTTTCTTTTTTTCTACATTATTTCTGGGTCATATAACTCGGATACGCATTGAAACAGAAATTGAGACTGAGTTGCTGCTATTTGTTAACGTGGACTCGAATGGCATGGAGGATCCGATCAAAAGCACTTGTTATGCTCGGAATAACATGACCACTAAGGAACCGAAAACATGCAGTGATGGGATTATTGGTGCAGAACCGAAGCCAGAGGCGTCGGAGGAAGTGGCTACACGAATCAGGAGTTGGGGACATGGGCTGGAGGTAAGCCCAGGCAGCATGTTTGACAAGGCGGTTGCGAATGGTAATTTCATACGGGGATGTGGTGGTGGAATTCGAAGATGTCGGAGAGTTAACGGTGGCGGAAGGGAGAAGATCTTTAAGAGAAGTGTAGGATGAAGAGGATTTTAGAGAAAGGAGGGAGATGTCATGGGGAGAAAGAACGGTGCCTTTTAAGTGTGATGGAGGGAGGATGGAGGAGGGGTGGAGGGAGAGCTTTGTTGGGATAACTAATGACTTGGCTATTGAGTTTCTCCGGCGAAGGGTGGCTGTTTGTGAGGGCGCTGATTCTTGGTTCATCGTGAGGGGAAGAGAGGGGGGAGAGGGAGGGAGGGAGGGATGGAATTTTAGAGTTTACTTGGGAATATGGCGGCTATTTGTATCGCGTTGTGGGTGGGTGGTTCCTTGGGTCAGTGATGGCTGAGGACTAAGGGCCACTGCCTGCCATTCTTTTGACGGCAACATCTTTGGACATGACGTCGTTAATGTTATCTTCCACGATGTCATTGGTGCTCTTTTGTAGTTTTACCGATAGATATTCAGCTCCGCTGGTCCTACCTGACCTGAGTTGAGTTACAAGAGTGCGTGTCATGCTTCTTTCTATTCAAATCTAAAGATTATTAATTTAAAATTATATAATATAAACTTTATTGTCTAAACGTGATTTTCAGATTTAAAATATTTTTAAATAATCAAGAATTAATACTAAAAGTAAATATAATTTAAATTAATTTAACACAAATAAATTATAAAAATATTATAAAAATAAAAAGTTTTAATTAAAAAAAACATAAACCAAACATCATTCATATCATTAATATAAAAATAAAAATCTTAATTTTGTGCAATGCAATGTCAAAAAAGTCATCAACTAGATATTCATAATTATTTTCATTAAGATCATCTTCTTTATTGAAATAAATCTCAAATAGATAAAAATATCTTAATTGTCTCCATTAAAATTGTTTCCTTCAAGAAAACCATATTCTTATAAATTTACTCTTTTAATAAATCAATATTATTAAGACTAATGAAAAATCTAAAATATGCCTTGATTTGCTCAAATTCTTAAAAAGTATAATAATAATATAAATTATATATATTAATGATAAATTTAATTTTAAAAGGCTAATAATAATGTTAATGAAAATAGTAATAATTTTTTTAATTATTACCTTCATCCTCAAATCGTAATAAACAAGGACCAAATCACTTTAATTTATTAAAAGAAATTATCTAGAACAAAATAAATGAAGTAAACCAATAATATCTTAGATGAAATTTGAGCAAAAAATCTGAAATGGCCTGAGATTCTAAACAAAATAAAATTGATTTCATTTAAAAAAAATGGTATGAAATATAATGGCACAAATTAATAGTCTTGATTTAAACTAATTTTTTTGAAAATATATATATAAAAAAACAATATTGTTTAAAAAAACTATTGAAGTTAATTTAATAATTGATAGATTGATTTGATTATCTAATAACATGGTCTTTTCACTGATATAGTTTTTCCACTTAATTTTATTTTCTTTTTTTATTATTACCCCTATGAATAATTAAAATTTATGTCAATCACTGATTGAAAAAATCGTTGTATATATTTAGAATCCCATTGAGAGAAGATTTAATTTGGGGACCAAAATTTGAGATTATATCAATAATTTAACTCATAATCTAATCTTCACTTGCATAATAATTAATTAAATCCACTGTAATGTCCATCCATGGTCCATGTGATGATATGAAATTATGAATATTAATTAAAGAGGACGTATATAAATTTTCTTTTTTCATGTAAACTAATTAATTATTACTAACCTTTACTTTCCTGGTATAAAAAAAAATTGAAAGTAAAGGATAACAGAGTTAAATAAACCTTTCTTATAAAAGCATGATATAAAGAATATTGTTTTATATAATGATTCAAATATTATTTTTTAGAATTTTTCATGACAAATGAAATTTGTATTTTTTTAAGTGTTAAAACTATTGAAACAATCTATGAAATATTAATAAAACAAATATCAAATATATAATTGAATAATATACATTTGAAGTACATGGTAACAAAAATAATAATTAAATACATGTAAAAATTTAATTTCTTAAATATTAAATATGAGCTTATCATTCTATAGAAAACATAATAAAACTTTTTATTTTTTTCATTAAAAGTAAAGTCATTTGTAATTTTCAATAATGATAATTGGTATGCATTAAAATATATAATAATATATTCAAACAAATATTTTTAGTATTTTTTAATAATAATATTTAGTGTGCATTAAAATATATATGATTTTATTCAAATCTTATTCTTACATAATATTTGATTGGATTTTAAACCCTTGCAAATTCTTTTCATTTTCTTAAAATTAATTTTAATGTTTGTATTAATACATATGCACCGTTTGTGTTAAAAAGACTAATAAATTAACTACTATACTTACAAAAGTTGGGGTTGGCCCTGCCACTTTCACTGTTCATCTAGATAGTAAAGGAGATGGCCCTTTTTTTCTTTTTCTTTTTAAATATATCTTCCATTTTTTTCTATTAAATGTTTTTTTTCTCTTTCAATTTTAAAAATATTTAAATGTATTTTTTTACAAAAAAAATTGTTTTTTTCTGGAAAAAAATGATTTATTTAATATAAAAAAATACTTTATGGAATTTACAATTTCAAATACTTTAGAATTTGTTTAACATATTGCAATTATTTTTAAAATATTTTTTTATATCAAAATACATGTTAATAACTTTTTTATTTTTTAAAAATTATTTTTAATATCAGTACATCAAGATAATTTAAAAACATTAAAAATATATTAATTTAAAATAAATAAATAAAATAAAAACTTTTAATTTTTTTTTAAAAAAATTTAAAATGCAGAAATAAAAACAAAATCATGAGGTTAAAAAAAGATAGGAACTCAAAAATTAATCGTAAAATAATCTTTCAAAAATTTGAAAATTTAATAAATTTAGATTAAGGTGATGTTCAGAAAAAACCTATAAAAAAATACATGGCTTGAAAATTTTATTGGAACTCGTTTGTCAAAAAAACCTTATTGACACAAAAATTGCAGGTATTTTTGATAAATTTCTATCAAGCCAAACATGGCCTTACACGCCTTGGAGGCTCAACTCGAACACTACGGGTTGGGCTTCTTAACACAAAACCAAGCTTGGTCCAAATGGGCTAAAAGAGAGAATGACCCAACCTTCCTTTTTCTTTAAAAGCAAAGGAGACTAAAAACCAAATCCATAAATAAAGAAACAAGAAAGCCCACCATGCTTTAAGGATCAACCTAATAATTGTATGCAACACCTTCTTATTTCCAAAAACATTTGAACATGCTAAAACCTTATCTGTCAAATTATTTCTTTACCAAACAAGAGCATTGAGCTGTTATATGAAAATAACTACCATGATTGCAACTTCAACAAAACAAAACAAAAGGGATATACCTCACTAACTCTGCCGCACCGGTTTTGGGAGAGTTCTACGTTGCCGCAACTGCTGCAGCTAGACTGTGATGCTGCTGGAGCTGGAGCACGCTGCTACTGCTGGTTCATCCTCGAAATACTGTTGTTTGAGGGTGTACGATGGACTGCACACGGTGTTGCACCAGGGAAGATGAAGTGCACGATGTTGCTAATGGAGGAAGACAGTGCAATCTGCTGCTGGAGCTTGTGCACGCTGCTACTCCTGGTTGTTCCAACTGGTACTGCTGGAGTTGTGTCAGTCGTGCGTGTACCTCACATGCAGAGATTAACTCACGGAAAGAACAGGCAAAAAAAACAGCTTGATTCTCTCGGGAGAAAAGGCAGCAGTCACTGTTGGATTCTTTGGTGTGGTTTACTGTGGAGTTTTACCTGGTTTTTTGGCCTAATATCAGGTTTTATGGTGGCTATTATGTGGTTGGGATGTAGGTTGAAAGGAGACTGTAGGGCTTCTGCTCCGTGGCTATTACGTGGCCGGCTTCGGGGTTGGTGTTTCGTGATGGTATATAGCTGGTGGCGAGGAAGATGACTGGTTGGAGATGGGAATGGAACAAGGGTTGCTCAAGGTGGGCTGGATGGCTTTCGATCTAAAAATATCAGAAGAAGATGAGTCTTTGGGGGTTTTTTTGGCTGGTATCAGTCAAAAGCAGAGAAGATGAAGTGGGTTGGTTTGCCCAATAGAGAAAATGGAGAGTTGTGTGATGTTTTTTATGTTTGCTCCCTTTGGCTTTTGATAAAGAATCCAGGAAATGTAACATCCATTCATTGATTTGAGCTGCTGAACTTAAAGAAGAAAAAGAAAAAGGGCTCATGTATTTTAACTAAAAAGAAATCTTTTTTCTTTTAACAAGCATCCCCCCGTGAAGAGGTTACAGGGTTTATAAGTAAATGGGATCTTAACCTTTAATGTTAGAGAATAGATACCAACTATTTGTTGAAGTTAGTGACAAAAGCTTGTTCTGTTTTACAATTAACGAAGGGACCTAAGGCTGTTTTTGCAAGCAGCGTTGTGCTTGGTAGTGTTTTTGGGAGAGTATTGACGAGTTTATTTGATATAAAATTGGTGTTGTATGGTAAAAGGATGAGGGAGAAATTAGTTC